GAAATGGTAAACAGCTGAGACTAACCCTAAAAATAAATTCCTCTGGGAATTTCTGTAGAAAAATCCATCTGCCCTCACTGCAGGTTCATCATTACAGAAATCACTGTTTAGATCAAGCCAAGAGACAGACAAGTCATTACTGCTTCCTCTCTGTATCGTTTTATAAGTACATAACTCTCTCTCTTCACCTGGGAAGGACACACACACACACACACACACACACACACACACACACACACACACACACAAATTTATCCTAGGAGCTTTCCCTAATCCTCACTACAAAATACAAAGTCTGGAGAAGAAAAGTCTGTCAAACTGGTAGAAGAGCCATAAGATCTTACTACATTCACTTATTTATAGCTGGTTCCCACTCCTTTAATGATCATCACAAAGTCATCTTTAGGCCTAAATCTCTTATTTCTAACACAGGTTGAGCAGATTTTCTTTATTTTAGTTCCAAAGAAACAGGTAGTATTTACCTGGCTTCAGGATTTGAAGGAATGTTTTTTTCTGTGAATGTTTTCATTATTTCCAAAATAAAGGGACAAATAAACTAAGGGAGGAAACAGCATGGAAAACCCTTATAAATGATAAAAATTAATTCGGTCCTTCTGGACTAAAGTTCAAATCTAAGCACTAATCATTGTATTGCTAAGTAAATGTCTGAACTCTATTATTACTGGGTAAACTTCTCTAATGTAGCTTTTAGATTTTCCTCTACATGAAATTATATGGAGATGAAAGTGTTAACCAAATTTAGTATTAGAAACAAAGATGAATTTTAACTAATCCATATATAAGGAAAGGTTACAGAAATGTCACTTATCAAACAGTGCCAAAGGGCACTTCTGCATAAACTAGATAAAGGCCACAGGCTCTATTCTCCTCCTCACTTAGGGGGCTGTCACACTCTCCCACTTCTCAATCAAGGGACTATAAGGGATCACCTGAGTAACAGAAAACCTACAGCTTCCAACTTCCAACCATTCTTCTATGGAAGAATTCATATAAAATAGATCATGAAACAGAATTCATTTTGGCTGGTCAATCTTTCCTCTTCTCAGTCACAGATACACTTAAACAATTTACAAAGAGAAGCTTATAACTAAAACCCCATCCTGACCCCTAATACACATTTCACCCTGACATGCTTTGCCTTGTTTGAGAAGTCACCCATGTGGAGAAGTAAGCATTAGTTAATAATCATTAGTTAAAAATTTCCAATTGCACTATTGACTGTCTCTAAACTACAGATTTAAGTCATTCAAATTCCTCTAGGTGAGATTTCTGTAAAAGAAACATTAACAGGTCAGTAAGTTTAGCTCAAAGCTCTGGAATAAGAATTCATTCAAGCCTTTTCTAATCTACTTGTAAGAAGCAAGGAAGCAAATTTTAAATCATTTGAGTATTGACTTTTTATTATTAGTCACTGTTCATAATTTGTTTCAACCAAAAGACAATACACACAGAATTCTAATGCATCCCATGTAAATGTTTACATCCATTTTATTCCTCACTCACCTCTAAGACTTATCATTTAATTTTAAATTTTTTTTACATCTCAAAAATATGTCTGCAATAATTAGAATTAGCCGTCCCACTTAGAAACAGCCTTTAATATTTTTACAGTAAAGAAGATGTGATGGGGCTTAATGAAAATGTAACTTACAACAATTATGAAAGAAAAGGACTTTACAGGGACACAGTGGGAGTTCACAAAGGAAAGAGTTCAGAAACTCTTTCCCATGAGCCCCTCCCCCCCCCAGATAGAAAACAAAAACAAAACACACAAAGCGCAACAGCAGGTTCCAAAAACAAAAACGAAAAATCTCCAATGCTCCATCCTGAAGCCAGAATCAGCCTCATGGAAGTTCATGAAGCAACCGTGCAAGCTGCTTCAGCACGTCCTTCTGTTTAAGTGTCCGGGTCCTGGAACCCTGCAGATGGAGCCCCCTCACTACTATTGCTTGAAAAAGAGTGATTCACCTTCCACTTCTACAAGCAGCCCCACCTTCCTGAGCCAAAGCTGGTCAAAGTGTTTCAAACTTCACGTCTTTTCCTCTTCAGTGACCCTCCCCACTCCCAAACGCATAAACACACAGTCATGAACCACCTCTCCACCAACCACAAATTTGTGAATATCCACTTTTTGCTCTCTAGCTCTCACTTGGTTTAGGACTGTGTGGATAAAATACATTCACTAGAAAAAAATATACACATTCAAACTCTTTCTTCCCCCTAGTTCTTGTGGCCCAAATATTTTCCAATGCAGAAAATAATCAAGTTGAACCTCAAACAGTATCCCCTTCCAATCTCTTCTAGAAGAATGTAAAAATGTAAAGCATGTTTATACAGTAGATGGAAATACTCAAACCATTAGTGCTGAACAGTTTTAAATGTCTACTCTCTTATATGAATGAAATACATCTTTAACCTAGTAAGAGGAAAGAATCCCCTCCCAACTGTTACACTGAGGAATGTTTCTTTAAATGAGAAAGACCTTAAAAGGAACAGATGATCACTACACACAGCATAAAACATTCCATGACTGTCCAAATCACCTCAAGGTAACAGCACCAGAGCATTGTGGGAGAAGCTTCTCGGGTAGAGCACCCTTCCTACAGTTTTTTGAGATTACTTAGATTAATTCTCCCTCAGGATTACTTTGGGGCTGGGGGTAGGAGTGACAGGAAAGAGGGGGAAAATGAGGTAAAAGTGCATGTGAAATTGTCCAAGTATGTGTAGGCTCACTGCTTATCACCCTGGAGTTATTAAAACAGCCATGGAAATCACTCTTTCCTCACAATGGCTCTGAAGTTGTAAATCTATTCAAATTTGCTCCCCCTCGAATGGTCATACCAGGGAAAGAAATTACTGAAATGTGTAAGTATTCATAAAAATTAAGAGATTTCTCCTTTTAGCAGCAAGGCCAAGTACGAGGAGAACTTATTCTGATCCTAGAAACTAAGGCACGCTGAAGCTTTCAAAGATCCAATTACTTGGAACAGTCTTCACAACCATCAGTATCCTAGGCAGTTTTTTGGCCACTAGTTCTTCAGTGTGGTGCTCAGTTTCACTCTCCAAAACCACTTCATATTCTAGGCAGCACCCCTTGTGTTAAGGCCATGATTTTTATCCCTTTATCTAGACAAAGCTATGAATAATCCTATAACTCTACCTCGAAACTATAATCACCCATGGAGATTTGTTACTATAGTAGACCCCTTCCAGCTCCATTAGCTAGCACTGTCTTCTAGCATGGTCTTCAGCAGGTTTCTGAGATCCAACTCAGTCCAATTAAAGAAACTTGAACTGGTCAACTATAAACGTGAAAGAAAATAAAGCCTCTAACACAAAGAGGAATGTTAGATAAATTCTATTGAAGAAATCCACCAATATTATGTTAACCCTATCATGTTTCACAGCATTAAGTATCCATCCAAGGAAATCAGTCTGCAAAGAAAGCTTAAAAGGCTGTATTTTTCATCGCACAGGCAGAGCAGCTGTTGGAAATATACACTAGTCCGCACTTGCCTTTACTGAAAACTATGCACAAGGTAATATCCTGTTCTTGACTCAATCAACCATTTACCCAGTAGAGTAAATTTTAGCAAATCTTGCTCTTATATAAGACCAGAAATCTTCCCCTTTGGAGCCTTTTAGTTCAACCCCCATTTGTCAAATGTTAGGAATAATCTAGCATCTGATACAGAGCTAGATTTGACAAGACACTGAAAATTTTAAGTAAAGGCTTGGGGAAGTGAAGGGGGAAAAAAAGATATTTGTACCCAGGTTTAAGACCAGAGCCAAAGTAGTCATTATACTGTAATCAATACAGTAATGATTGCAAACATTGTAAGAGCAAGGTGGGCCTGACTTTTTCTTTCTTCTTTTAGTGTATCAGACATGGCACCTGTGCACCTGAACGTACACGGTACATTCAATATGTGCCACAGGAGTCATCTTACCTCACTCCAGCAACTCAGCATTAAGGTTTGATAACACAAGGGTCCTTTCTAAAAAGCACTCGGCACTCTCACTAGTTTAAAAAGCTCCAGACCTCAGGTCTTTGATGCAGATATTCATGAGATTGGCTACTCTCAAGACACCAACTTCTCAGACTCAGGAAAGGATATGCCTACCCTATGGTGTCCATAAGACCTCCTCTCATACGGGGGCAAGGAAGCTACAAGGCTTCATTCCAACACCATAAAGTACAATATAGGAAAGATTTCTTTAACCGCGTGGTCTTTATTTCAGTGCCAGTGTTACAGATACAACACAAATGTTCCAGTTAGAAGAAGGAATTCAAACGGAATGCCAAGGTCCAAGCCAGGCTCAGGAAATAAAAAGGAAGGTTTGGAATCATGAAGAAGATGACTCCAATATGCTCTAGGATGAGTCTGATACTTACTCTTCCTATGGGCAAAGGTGCTTTTTTAAAGGAGTCTGATCTTAAAAAGCTAACTCCTCTTTCCACCCATTTACCATAGTTCAACAGGCAAGTTATGGGCTTAGGAGAAACTTTTAAAATTTGTGGTGGGAACAGGGGCATTAATAACAATATATCCTTTAGAAATTGTTCACTTTGCACTTTCAGGGGAATCAATTCTGAAAATCATGGAGAATATTCATGACTACAGCTAAAGAATGGAGAGAAGGGGGAGCTGGAAGAGCCTTGGGAGTTTCTATTACAAATAGAGCACCATATCCTTCATGCCAAATCTCAACAAAAGCTCTTTTTAACTGCATCTGTCCAGTGTTTAAAATAACCTCTCCAGGTCTACCCAGTTCTTGGTAACAAACATACATACATGTGTGTGTCTGTGTGTATACAGCAATGCACAGAAAAGGCTACCAGGAGCCTAATGCCTCTTTCAAACATTGGGGGAACCAGTAGAAAAAGGCAGGGCTCCCTAAAGTCCATTTTTACATTTCCGTTCTGAATGCCTGATGTAAAAAGCGCCTGAAGATAGTAACCCAGCTAGTGAGGAATGAATACCCCACCTCGCCCAGTCCACAGAAAAACACAGTAGAAAGAAGGGGCAACTCTTTGCTGCACAGACAGAGTGAGTGTTTTCTTGCCATGGATTCTAGTCCTCTCCTCCAGACCAGCTGCTTATTTCCTCAGGGGCCCAGGGAATGTTGATTCTGGCTGTAAATGTGGGACGGGTGGAGAAGTGCGGACAAAGGAGAAGAGGAGGAAGAGTGCAAAGTAGCCTCCAGAAGCAGCCAGCCTCAACAGTGGAGGAGAGGAGATTCGTCTTTGACAATGCTTCAAGGTCAGCGATAACTTCAGGAAAATCCTCCTCAACAGTTCTCTTCAGCTCCTCATGCCCATGGTACAGTTGGGGGGGACTTGCCAGCGATCACAACCTCCTTCCCAGAGTTCCTTTGATTGAGTGGGACAAGAATGAGAATGGTGCCCAGGCCTTCATTGCCAGGACTGAGGGGGAAAGTTGTTCACCTCTGCTAGATCTTGCATTGCTGAGCCCTTGTGGTTATATGTGAGCTTGATCCGCATTCGCAGCTGTTGCTGTGGAAGAACAGAGAATTACAAATTATACACTGAAAGGAAATCTCTAGAATCTATGTGGGCCACAAATAGACTTTTTTTTTTTTTTGACAGAGAGCACATGTGCAAGTTGGGGAGGGGAAGAGACGGCGGGGGGGGGTTGGGGGGGGGCAGGGAGAATCTTAAGCAGGCTCCAAGCCCAACAGAGGGCTCAATCTCCAACCCTGGGATCATGACCTGAGCCAAAATCAAGAGTCAGACACTTAACCAAATGAGCCACCCAGGCACCCCTACAAAATAGACTTTTAATCTCAAAGGAAACAAATTATTTTACAGCAAAGCTGTCTCTTAAAAATGAAACAGGCAAACCACCACCATCCCTACTGCCTAGTACTCTGGCCAACATCATGCAGTCGAGTAGAGAAAATGCATCTCCAAAACACATCATCAGCTCCAATCCTAGAACTGCATTAATGGGACAGAACCACTTGGGAGCATTTCATAGTCACACTGGCTGAGTGCTTTTCAAAAACATTCAACCTTTGGATCCAAGCTTCTAGAAAAATGAGGTAACATAGTCATCTTACGCTCTACATTCAGAGATACTGATGTTCTCTGTAAAACCGATAGTAAATGTGAACATAAACTGTTTTGTTCCCAGGACAGAAAAAAAAGAGTTAACTTATGGTAACGGAAGTCATTATAAGACAGCTCAATTATAAATCCTTTTGACTTTATGTGGCAGATTTCAAATATTAATGCACTAAGAAAATTTGTACTTTTATGTATCAGATCATCAAAGGAATCTATGCTATGCTATAGGCAGATACTCCAAAATACATTGCATAGCAGAGGAAAGGCAAAATGTTTTGTGAGAAGGAAATATCGGCGTTATTAGACACTGCTAGAAATCTTTCAAGGTGAAGAAATTCTCTTAACCATTTTCAAAACCTGTTTGAAAACGAGTCAATTGATGACTATTAAAGAGTCAATTTCTTCTTTGAGAAGATGTAATGAAAATATTGCTTAATTTCAGTTTCTAAAGCTACTTTTCATTTGGCTGGTTCATTAAAAATGCTTCTACTTTTGCTGTGAATACTTACTACAGTAGTAAATGTGGATATATGGGGTTGTACAGATACTTTTACCCTAGACTGCAACTTGTGTAAAGATTAAAATGTCTAACCTTCCACTCTTCTGCAAAGAAATTAAACCTGTAAGCCTCCAAATTCTTTAAAGCTGCATTTTAATAAGTTGCCACTAAACCATTTCATGTGTCTGAGCTGCATTTATTATCTAATCTACAAAAGAATAAAGAGGTTAGAGTAGACCTTTCCCAGATTTCTTCTATGAATATGAGTCAAAAAAAAACCTAGAGAACCAAAGCAAAATTTTATTTCAGGAAATATGCTTATATTTCGCTCAGATATTGCCTTCAAATGTCCTACTCACCTTCTGTGGGTTCAGAACTTTAATGACTTGTGTGATGGTCCCCGTATTAAATGCTGGGACAATGCTGCTACTAGGAGACAGAAGCTGCAGCTGGAATGTCTGTGGGGAACAAAGGGCACTCTTCAGAAAAAATAATACACTCAATACTGTGTCAGAGATGTCAACAAATAAAAATGTCAAGACACTAAGATGATTATTCAAGTAACAGGTTTACCTACTACTATGCTCTATTTGTTTTCCAGATACCAGCAATTCATAGTATGTGGGCTGACTATAACCTTCATGTTATTAAAAAAAAAAAAGCCACTGTTAGGTCTTTGATCATGAAAACTAGCAATGAGCCACTCTCCTCTTTACAGCAAAAGGAACTTTAGCCTACCACTTTTCAAAAGGTGACCAATTCTTGTTTTGGCAACCTCACTTAATAGTAACTGATCAACTACGCAGGTAAAAAATGGGTGTCTGTGGCTAAAGAAAGCTAGAAAAAAAAGAAAAAAACCTTCTAGAAATAACAAACCAGCATACCATTCACCAACTACAGCCCTTTATGCTTTGGTGTGAGTGGGATCAGGAGAGTTGACCTTTTGTTTTCTAAAGTCTACATAATCTGGAATGTGTCAAAGGCTACATGACAGAGGTAAAGGAAAAGCTGGAAAGAGCCCAAATGTTAATATGTATGTGGAATACACCAGGATCTCTCCATTAGTGACACAGGGATTAAGAGAAAAATTACGTGCAGAACTAGCCTATACAGCAAAAGACCTGGAAAAGCCAAATGCCACAATTTTTAGTGTAAGTTTCATATGTTTGTTCACAGAGAAGAGATAAAAGTGCTGTAAGATAGGTCAACGATAATTTTTAGCACAATATAGTATATATATGTAGCGATTCTACATACTAGGATTTTTTCTTTTTTAATTCAAGTTTATTTATTTTCAGAGAGACAGCACAAGCAAGGTAGGGGCAAAGAGAGAGGGGAGAGAGAGAATCCCAAGCAGGCCCTGCACTGTCAGCGCACTGCCCGACACGGAGCTGGAACTCAAGAACTGTGAGGTCATGACCTGAGCTGAAGGCAGACGATTAACCGACTGAGCCATCCAGGTGCCCCTATACATTAGGATTGTTAAAATCTTTCCTCAATAGTGTAGTCTTCTAAAATATTAGAGAGTGATCATCATCATGGAAACACAAATCAAAACCACAATGAGATACCATCTCACACCTGTCAGAATGGCTAAAATTAACAACTCAGGCAACAACGAGAGATGTCAGCAAGGATGTGGAGAAAGAGGAACCCTTTTGCAGTGCTGGTGGGAATGTAAACTGGTACAGCCACTCCGGAAAACAGTATGGAGGTTCCTCAAAAAATTAAAAATAGAACTACCGTACAACCCAGCAACTGCACTACTAGGTATTTATCCAAAGGATACAGGTGTGCTGTTTCAAAGGGGCACATGCACCCCAATGTTTATAGCAGCGCTATCAACAATAGCCAAAGTATGGAAAGAGCCTAAATGTCCATCAATAGATGAATGGATAAAGAAGATGTAGTATGTATGTGTGTGTGTGTATGTGTGTGTGTATGTATGTATGTATAGGTGATGGGAGTATTACTCGGCAATCAAAAAGAATGAAATCCTGCCATTTGCAACAAAGTGGATGGAACCAGAGTGTATTATGCCAAGGAAAATTAGTCAGAGAAAGACAAGTATCATATGGCTTCATTCATACATGGAATTTAAGATACAAAACATGAACATAAGGGAAAGGAAGAAAAAAGAATATAAAAGCAAGGAGTGGAACAAAACATAAGAGACTCTTCTAAAAAAATTTTTTTAATATTTATTTTGAGAAAGAGAAAGAGAGAGAGAGAGAGAGAGAGAGAGAGAGAAAGCGAGCTCAAGCAGGGGAGGGGCAGAGAGAGAGGGAGGCACAGAATCCAAAGCAGGCTCCAGGCTCTGAGCGGTCAGCACAGAGCCTGATGTGGGGCTCGAACTCACGAACTTCAAGATCATGAGCTGAGCCAAAGTTGGATGCTTAACCGACTGAACCACTCAGGCACCCCAAGAGACTCTTAAATACAGAGAACTGAGGGTTGCTGGAGGGTTTGTGGGTGGGGGGAAGGGTTAAATGGGAAAGGGGCATTAAGGAGGACACTTGTTGGGATGAGCACTGGGTGTTACATGTTGGGGATGAATCACTGGATTCTACTGCTGAAATCATTATTGTAATACATGTTAACTATCTTGGGTGTAAATTAAAAAATAAATAAAAATTAAGGAAAAAAAGAAAAAATATTAGAGAGGAGAAAAAAGAAAGAGGGGAAAAAGAGGAAGAGGAAGAGGAAAGAAGAGAGAAGGAGAGAAGAGGGGGAGAGTGAGAGAGAGAGAAGGGAAGGGGGAGAGACACAGAAAGAGATGGGAAGAGGTGGGGCTGGCAGAGAATGAGAGGAGGGAAGTCTAGCCATCTGTAAGGACCAAAACTTTACTGTAAGAGTAAAGAGATTTAGTATCAACTCACAGACTTATCATGTTGGGTCTTATCATAATTCTATTGTCAAGATGGATGATGTAAGCTAAAATATTCTTTATTTATTTACATTATTTCATCAAATGTAAAATGCCATTAATTGTAATTCACACCATTTTATGTACCCCTGAGAAAGATAACAGGTTACCAATTAAACTATGACAAAGTATTAATTTTAAAATGCATCTCAATTTCAGAGATAATAAAAAGTGAAAACAGTAATAGAACCTATAAAATATGGTATTTTGAAGTTCAAGATACATCATGACATGCAAGGAGGTATTGTAGAGTACAACACCAAAAATAAGGCTATGCTTTAATGGCAGAGGTGATATGTTGCTAGTACACAGCCTCAGGTAACAAGTGTAAAACCCTAAGTTGTAGCAGCTAACATTTACTGAGTAATGAACACATGAAAAGTGCTTAAAACAGTACACAGCACATAAAACTCATCTAATCCTCAAAGGAACTCTAGGAAATAGACATCATTATCACCATCCCCTCTTTGTAAAAGAAGAAACTGAGGCACACAGTTTAAGGAACTTGCTTAATGTCACACAATTAGTACTGAAACCACTCCATTCTCCTAAAACATCTACATTACTCTAGTTCCTAAAAAATGCAATTAAAGGAGGCTTTTGCAAAATCAACAGTAACCACAAATAAAATGTCTTCAGTTTTCAAAAATGTGTGGTTTGAATGTCACACTTCACATGTCACTGCAAAGATAAGGTTAGCTTAGTCTAAACCAAGGGCTGGCAGAGGCGCCTGGGTGGCTCAGTTGGTTAAGCATCCGACTTTGGTTCAGGTCATGATCTCGCGGTCCGTGGGTTCGAGCCCCGCATCGGGCTCTGGGCTGACAGCTCAGAGCCTGGAGCCGGTTTCAGATTCTATGTCTCCCTCTTTCTCTGACCCTCCCCTGTTGATGCTCTCTCTCTCTCTCTGTCTCAAAAATAAATAAATGTTAAAAAAAAAATTTTTTTTTAAACCAAGGGCTGGCAGACTATGACCCATGGGCCAAAAATGACCTGACATCTTTTCTGTAAATAATGTTTTACTGGAACATTTACTGTGCAACAAAGCCACACTGCTTCATTTACATGGTGATTATGGCTTTTTTGTTTTGAGAGAGAGAGAGAGAGAGAGAGCGAGCTCTAGCAGGGGAGGGAGAGAAAGAGGGAGGGAGGGAGAAAATCTTAAGTGGGCTCAACACTCAGCAAGGAGCCTGACACAGGGCTCAATCCCATGACAATGGAATCATGACCTGAGCCAAAATCAAGAGTTGGTCACTCAACCACACAGGCAACCCCCTTTTTTTCCACTATAACAGCAGAAATGAGTAGATGCAACAGAGATCATATAGCCTAAAATACTTACTATCCTATCCTTTACAGGAAAATTTTGCCTATTCTTCATTCTCAATACACCGAACTTTTCATTATTCAAAGATGGGACATAAATATTCCTTAAACTAAGATCTGGTATAAATAAAACTAAGCAGTCATTGTATCAATAGTAAACTAGGTATTAATGAAGGAGGAATGACTGTTTCTTTCACTCAAATAGTGAGATGAAAACTGTCAATTCTGATCCAGTGACTAGAAGAGAATACCAAATAAAGTCCTTCCTCTTAATGAACTTTAATTCCATGTTAGTATTTGTGTTTTTCAGGTGTTTACCACTGTATTTCTGAACTCCAACCTACCCTACATGCCCCTGAGCATTAGTAGACCACCTCACAGAATTCTGCTGTGAATCTCATTAGCTATAATCAGAATGTCCTTTATCCTTCAGGAATAACTGTAAAAATATTTAAAGTATTTAAAGTAATATTTAAAGTAAAAAGTATTCATTAAAAATGACATACTTTGGGGCACCTGGGTGGCTCAGTCGGTTGAGCATCTGACTTCGGCTCAGGTCATGATCAGTTTGTGAGTTCAAGCCCCATGTCGGGCTCTGTGCTGACAGCTTTGAGCCTGGAGCCTGCTTGGGATTCTGTGTCTCCCTTTCTCTCTGCCCCTCCCCCACTCACACTCTGTCTCTCTCTCTCTCTCAAAAATAAACATGCTTTAATGAACCATAATAGTTACAGTACTGTTAATTTGGATTAAACCTGCAAATTTGATTTAACCTCTAAAGCTTAAAATATATCCCTCAACAAATGTGTGACAAAAAATCAATCTTTAATCAAAGGAAAAAGACAAAGACAACATTGTAGTACCTTTGGTACTGCAGCTTGGAAAACAAAGTCTGTCATGTCCAGCTCTGTGCTGTTGGAGGCCTGTATCGTTATCACTGTGACACTAGGGTTGGTATTTGACCGTTCAAAGGTGAATTCTATCTTCAAGCCATTCTTACTGTATGCTGTGATGGAGGGGATGCCTGGAAAGCACGGGAAGATCAGTCTAACTGCAGTCAGCTTAAGGCTTGCAGAATTATTTTCTTCTTCAAGAACCACCTCTCACTGATGGTGATACCAGTAACCATACCTGTAGTGATGTCATTGAAGAGAGGCTGTGATGAAAGCCCATCCAATAAGAAAGGAGGCTGGGATATCTGTGGGACTGAGGCAGGAGCAGGAGTAGCAGCCGGAGCACCTAAATGAAGCATTCCAATGGTAAGTCAATCTTAGCCAGCATGACAAAGCTCACCAAAAAAATACAGGAGAAAATTATTGGATCTCAGATTAAGAGAAGGATTCTTTTTAAACAAGATGCAAAAAGCATAAACCATAAGAGGAAAGAACTAAACATTCAAATACTTTAAAAAGAGTAACTCTTATTTAAAAATACTAAAATAAAATAGACCACAGGCAGGGGAAAAATATTTGCTACAAAACAGCAAATGGATGTGTATACAGAACTATAAGGATTTTCTACAAATTGGTAAGAAAACAAGGTAACTCAATTTATTTTTTTTTTTTATTTTTTTTTTCAACGTTTATTTATTTTTGGGACAGAGAGAGACACAGCAGGAACGGGGGGAGGGGCAGAGAGAGAGGGAGACACAGAATCGGAAACAGGCTCCAGGCTCTGACCATCAGCCCAGAGCCCGACGCGG